CAGTTTCTGGTGAAAGGAGGATAAATAAAAAAGTGGACACGACTGTGGTGAAATAATGACGAAACATGCAGTAAATTCCATGTAGACTGAGACGCACAGAGACAATAAGACACAGAGACAGCCTGAGACAGTGACTGCAGGACACCCTGCAGGCCTGAGAGAGCATTACAGGAGAGAGTCACAGCTCTAGCTCAGACATTCAATAGCTGCTGCATGGACAAAGAGTACAGCACTGTACAAACAGGACATGACTGTCCTGAGGACGGAGACGCTCCACCAGTGCAGCTGCTCCCAGTCATTTGATCACAGCAGGTCAATGATTTTATAAACTCCTCAGTGTACGGTCCTGCCGACAGTACTGCAGTATCGTGACACGTACAGTATCACCAGATTCTTATACAGAGTCCAGTTATGTCTCAAAGTAAGAAATAATCACTTTACACTGGTGTCATGGAAAGACTGGAATTGTTTTATATTCTACTCCTGCTCCATGGAAATTTAATTTAAAATCATTTCAATTTAAAAAATATCTGACCAGTCTTTCAGAATAAATTCAGCCAACTGAAAGTGATTTCTCTTTTCACACCAACGTCTGTGTCCAAGGCAGACCTCAGTCCTCAGAGGAGCAGGATCAGTGGTTCATTCCAGAACTCTGGATAACATTTCATTAGTAGGGACACACACTCCTCAGAAGAAACCACCGCCGTCTGTGAACACAGGCTTTAAAATCAGCTTCAGCTCAAAATCTAAATCCTCATCTGGGTTAGGCAGCAACTCCTCCAGGTGGAACAGAGCCGGCAGATCGAGGCTCTGGAGGAACAAATCCAGGAGATGAAGAGGATGAAGGAGGAGGAAAAGAAGAAGAGGAAGATGAAGATGAAGGAGAAAAAGATTTTAAAATACTTTATAGACAGTTAATGTAAAACTGTAAAACACACAGCTACATCAGAATGAAGCGCTCCTCATGAGCCTACTGCTGTTTGGTGTTAATGACCCAGTGGAAGGAAAAGGAGGAAGATGAGGAAGAGACGCAAACGGAGAAGCCTCTCGATGTACAAACACTTAATAATCAGAGACAGCTCTTCAGAGACTAGTACTACAGTCGACTCATCATCATCACCATCATCAACATCATCATCATCATCATCATCATCATCACCATCATCATCATCCTCTTCCTCTGTTCTGGTTGTATTAAACCCGGGGGGCGTGTGGAGACACGGTGGCTCTGATCCTGCAGCAGTTCAAATATGAAGGCCCTTTGATGATTTCATTACCACGTCAGGCTTCAAAGAGAAACCTTGGAGTGAAGCAGATAAAAACAAACAAACAGCGAGGTGAGGCCTGGTGCTGATGACACACTTAGATGGTATCTGTGGAAGCAGCGCCACATGCACCAGCATCACGTCAGATCATCCTGTTTGGTCACACAGCAGATTCAAACCTCTGACTCTGATGTTCTCAGATGTTTTAGACGTTGTTTGTGGACCTCTGGGTTTTACTGCAGTTGAATATGGTAAAAAAAGCAGGTTAGGGTGATAAAGAGTCAGCTCGTGTCCTGAGTGGATCAGAAGAAAACAACGATGACACGTGTACAGCAATAAACCTGTGATGTTTCTGCTGTAAGACAAGCGCTCCGACCACTGCTCCACAGTGTGGACCTATAGATAATGACATTATGTTCATCAACATCCTTCAGATTCAGGTTGACACCAACAACAACCAGTGAATCCATGATGCTTTTCTATAATATAGTGATAGTGATAGTGATATAAGTGAGGAGTTTGAAAATGATACAGGAGGAAGTGTTCAGTAGAACGGAGACTAAGAAGAAGATAATGAGGTACAGGCTCAGGGTCAAGAGGTCAGCTCAGAGTCCATCATTATCTGACAGCAAAGGAGGAAAAGCAGCTAATGATCATCCAGCACTGCAGCTACAGTCACACCCAGGCCTGCACTCCTGCTGGAGGGGTGACGGGGGGGTTGGGGGGGGGTGGAAGGAGCTCAGATATAAACATCCATGTTTGTATCTGAAGGAGCAGGAGCAGGAAGTGAGCAGACAAGTCAGAAGACTGGACCAGAGGAGGATGGAAACACTCAGATACAGAGAACCTTACTGTGACTCCACCAGGACTGAGAGGGAACCAGGAAGGACCTGAACCTGGATCAGAGACGGACTCAGGGACCAGCAGCTCATCAGGAGGAAACTGAGTTCTGTCACAGCAGTGAAGCCCAGACACAGCTCTGTACTGGCTTGGGGCTGCATTTCAGCCAGTGGCTAAAGTTTCAACACTTGAGTTGATCTAAAAAAAAATTTTTTTTAAAAAAGTGTTTGGTTTATTCACATCACACCAACTTCTTCACACTTGACTGAAGAGTTCAGCCTTGATCCTTTTCTCTGATTCTTAAATGTTTCAACTTCTGATCAAAGAGCCACCCCCTGACCCCCCCTGACCCCCCGTCCCCCGGAACAGAATATCTGTTATAATTATTTTTATAATTATATAAAATTATATAATAAATATATATAATTATATATTTTTTTTATAATTATTATTAATATCAAAATCTACATCCCATTGGACTGTGTTTCATGTTCAGTCACAGCTGTAGTCACTAACGCAGCTGTGTTGTTGTTGTTGTTGTTGGAGACCTGCTGGTCCACTGGCATCATCTCCTCCACAGCTGGGGACAGACCGACAGATGGAACCAGGTTCGTGGCCCGTGCAGTGAAACTATTTATAAAAAAAAAACAACCTTTAGACTCTTTTCTTTGCAGACCACATCAGAAACACCAAAGTCCTCTCCATGGAGCC